TTTCTTTCTTGTAAAGTATGCAAATATCAAGGAATGAATGTGTCTGTAATCTACAATTCACAACAATAGTGGAGCTTGCCTTTAACTGAATAATTATTTGTCATATTTAGGACAAGTGGTTGTGGCAGCTGTCTTCTCTGAACAGCAGTCTGGTGAACACCGTACTGTTTCGGCCTCAGTACACTGAAGGTAAGGCATTTAATTTTTAATCTCTTATAGAGCAGTTTTTGACTCAATCATGTGCTACACTTTATTTACAATATTAAATAATTTTTCAAATAATTTCTTGCGGATGAAGTATACATGTAACCACTGTATTTCTTTTATTTTTTTTCACAGATCTAAGAAAACACTTCACACCCTACAACCCCTAAAAATGTATGTTGCTACCTTAAATGTTTTCAGTATTTTTTATTATATTTAATAATAATGTTTAAAATAAACCATGTCATTGACTTCATTGACACTTTGACAAACATATTTGTACTGTAATTTTTGAATGTCTTAAACTTTTTTTCTTTTTTTACTTCTAGAACCCAGATTTGACAGCAGTGCACACCCATCTGAGGCTGACCTGTTTTACTTCATGATCACCCCACATACTTCTACAACTAACCCGCTTTGTAAGTTCTCATAGCTACACCTTAAAGAAGCACATCATTTTGGGGAAATTTCCTGTGTATTTGCCGGTAAATTACTTTTATAAAGATTAATGTTGATTATATACCTAGTTCAACAAAAAATGAAAATGATGCCGCTTAATCTCCCTTCTGTCATTCCATCCCATAAAAAAGTGTGCATCTTCAATGAAGATATTAACCCCAAAACTCTGACACCCAAGAAACCATCAAATAAATCCGTATGAATGGAGCCGTGTAATCTACTTTTGGGCCAAACTGTTCAATGAATGCTAAGGAGTAGTTTCAGTTAGCAGAAGTTAAAAGCAGCTTGTAAGTGTATTTATTTCTTGTCTCAGTGTTTAGCGCAGTTGTCATTGCTAGGAAACGTCTCGGGTTACTTATGTAACCATGGTTCCCTGAGTAGGGAACGAGACACTGCGTCCTCAACCCGTGTCTCATTGAAAAAACACCAACTCGTTGGCCGGCGACAGCCATGACGTCACTACCGGTGCGACTAGAGTATAAAAGTATAAATGGAGCTACACATCACTTACTTCTTCATCTGAAGCTTGCGTCCGCAACATGGCAAGAAACCTAGAGGACGCAGTGTCTCGTTCCCTACTCAGGGAACCATGGTTACATAAGTAACCCGAGACGTTCCCTTTCATGGGAACTTCGAACTGCGTCCTCTAG